TACACAAACTTCATATAATTGTTTGCAAATAACGAAGGAATYAGTCACATATACATCACTCGTACCTGGATTGCGGTCCAATTGAGATGACAATCTTGTATTAGAATGGTCTACTCTATTGGTACTAAAAATATCAGAATAAACGGTTAGTTATGTATTAATCTGGAAAGGAAAAAAGCCGGAAAGTATCTGACAAACTTACTTGTAATCTTTCTCCCAAAACTTTACAGGTCTAACGTAAGACGTTATAAAAATTGCACTTCCTAAAACAGGGTTGAGAGGAGCTGATAGAATTGACGACACAATGGCTTGAAAGAATAACATTGCTGAATCTGTTGTACGTCAGTTAAAGAGATCGTARCTTTTTGTACAATGGCTATAGTCTCTGTACCCTGGTCCCAGAGGTTTTCTTTTCTCTTCTTTTCTAGATGTTTTTTATCGTATTTTTGTCTTTGTTTTTTATATTTACGTCGCAAAAAACAAAGACAAAAATACGATAAAAAACATCTAGAAAAGAACGTCGCAAGAAATATAAAAAACAAAGACAAAAATACGATAAAAAACATCTAGAAAAGAAGAGAAAAGAAAACCTCTGGGACCAGGGTATAGTCTCTGTTTTTAATATGGTGCTTTCCATTTAATCATACTGGCTCATWTAGAAGTAATTGAAACCTTTTAACGAGAATTTTCAAAGTGGATAAAAATGGGAGCATAAAGAAAGAATAAACATAGAAAGGAAAGGAAGAAGTAAAGAATAAACTCTAWTGTGGGAATTTGAGAAAGGAGGGAAACTGAATGAAAAAAAAAGAGTAATAAAGGCAAGAATAGGAACCTGTGGAAAAGGAAGATGAAAAGGAAGGGAATAAAAAAGGAATAAAATAAGTGCGGCTGTGAATGAGATGGGAAAAATAGTAATGACAACCGTAGGTTTGAAGGTAATAAAAAATAAAGGCAAAACCACACGCTATTTTGAGAAGATAATTTAGAATCTAGCTTTTATGGCAAGGATACGAGGCACGCTGAATGGCTGAGCAAAAGCGTGAAAAGCTGACCCCCACGTGATCTGCCACGGCGCTATATACGTCACAATGAAGCGAATCTTTAGAATCAACTCGTAGAGCTAARATCACAACAAAATATTTATAGTTACGATAAGTATCACCATTTCTTTATGACTATGTACCAATAGTTMACTGAAGACCATATACGTAATGCATTGTAGGGTATATTTGGGACAAAACATGGTGCACTTCTTCGTTTTCTCCAGAAGCTGATCCCACAATGCATTGCAAATCAAGTTAGTGACGCAAAAAGCTTCAGAGGTCTATTTATTCTACCATACCTTAGTCATGAATATTGACATAAAGAAATAGTCAATGAGTAGGGTTTCAGACATGTAAGCAAAGTCAAAGCTGAAGAACAACAAGGTGAAGACTAGAATCAAGTGTTGACGAGACGAGTCCGAGAACGCACTGCGCAGTAACTTGAGACCAACTACACATATAATGACAGGGCCAACACTGAAACAACCAAATCAATACATTATTAACAAGGTATTAAAAAACACACGAAAAGCTGCAATTTAAGTGTATAGGTTTACGTGATTGATATGTCCAACCCTCAAGAATTAACCCTCCCCTCCCCACTTCCCCTTGTTTGACGATCTTAACAGCGGGACCCAAATGACGTGTTTGGTCACACCCATCACAGACCTACTTTGGAATTTTCAACTGAGATGACTAACACCCCATKCAATTGCCATGTGATGACCACGCCCACCCAAAACTACGYMACATGGAAGACCACACCTACAATCGACAYGATGCTACATCGWCCTCGTGCTACAACAGTGTGCCACACCCACTAATGCCTAAGAACACACACTGAACATTGTGYTAAATAGAAGGTCACGCCCACGGAAGGGTACATATAACACATTGCCAACGCCCCATCCCCTTACAAGTCTTTTTGGTAACATCGTGATTTTTCTAAGAGTTCAATACAGTTTTACAATACATACATGATTCCAAACTTTTCGACCAGCGGTTTTGCATATCTCGTCAAAGCACTAAGAAATACGGCAGGGTAGACGAAGTTTCTTTCGATGAAGTTCAGCCAAACATGTGCCTTTTCAAAACGCATGATCTTCGCGGCATCTTACATGGAAAAGGGAAATAAAGAAAAAGAAAACCAAACAGTTTAAATGATAAATAGTTCATTTCTCTTTAGGAGTGGTGCCTTTTTAGTGATGMGAAGGGTGAACAGCGTAATGCAACGCACAAATCCTTATTCATCGGGGCGGGGTCGTTCAAAGTCCGATTAGCGTTAATTTAGGTTTTAACTCCATAGGTTAAGGATAAGTGCTAATGGATCTTTCAACAACCCGGTCCGGATATCATCCTTATAAAATCTATGGAGTAAATAACTTAATCCACCCTTTGTTCAAGCGACCCAGATTATTTACTCTCTAGACTTAAGATGAAAACATGTTGACTGTTAATTCTAGGCATCAACTTACCTCGAACTTCAAACTGATTAAATTCTCTACTCTTAAAGAACGGGACAGCAAAGCAAAGCCATGGAAGAGGTTTCCGTAACTGMGGCCAWAGATAGTGATTGAAGACACCAAGYGTACCCGCAAGACCRTACAAGGCATAGCTAACGTAAGGCTGYATKGAAATGAAAAAAAAGGAAAAAAAAGWGAAATGCTACAAAKGACAATCGATTTTTATAAAGGTCCTACGTTAATTCTACAAAATTAATAACCTCGTTCTCTGGCCCTTGAATCCGCCTGAACCCAAGTGAAGRGATAWGGGCCTGGGAACATGGTTGCAGAATCCATAGCAACACTATGATGATTGTRRYCTCACTCGCAGCCGGTTTTTGGTTTCGCCCCATTTCATTTTCCTCGTCTAGTTGACGCGCGACTAAAACCAGCTGCAAGGGAAACTATGATAATWGCACCTACCTGTAGCGTTGTGAAAACAGTACTGACATGAATAGCAAACACGAAGATTAAGATGATTATACAGCATATCATATCGTTTTGAAGTCTCTTTGACTAGTGGAAATAAAACAGAAAAAACTCTCAAGGATTGAACCAGAAGCAGTAAGTACTCATAAAAAAAGAAAAGAAAAGGGAGAAAAGAAGGGACGCCAGAATACTGGAAGAAACGAAGTCCGCAAAAGAAACAAAAAAAATTGAAGATGGAAAGGAGAAAATAGGGGAAAAGAAGTTCATCCACGTGGGTGGAGTGGGGATACCTTTGGTCTACAATACAGTAGGATTGTCGTCTCTTTTTGGAGTTGAATAAAAATAAAACAACAACCACGAACTAAAGATAGAGTCCTACTTACCAATGTCTGTTTGAGTTTTCCTGGAAGTGGATCCACAAAGTCTACTTCTGGTCTGAAGGAATGCTTATCAAGACATGATGAGCGAAACAAAGATGCTAAAACTGTGGGRTCCGTTGCRGTTCTACTCAGATGATASGATACTGCTACAAGAAGGCCGGAAAAGATGGAAAACAAGACATGCTGAGATCCCATAGTCTCGTTCTGCAAAAATACAAGCACAGGAATAAAGTTAAATATGGTATATAGTTCTAAGTTGATTTTGATCAGTTTTGCAATTTTTGCAGTTTTGCGTTTTGTTTTGTATCATTTTGCTTTGTTTCATGGTTTTCGTTAKTTCGTTTYYTAGATTRGTTTCYTGMTTTCGTAMYYGAGATAACCAACACCTTTAGTTGATTYTTAAACTAGAAATTGTTTCACAGTGTAGAGGCAAAAAAAAACTATAATATATATTACTTACAGACATAGCTCCATAACAAAACCCATACAAAACACCAGTAGCAAGAATACTTCTAAGGACRCTAACAACAGATCCTTTGAGGCTTGTCATTGCTGAAACGACAAATAGTACCAACAAATAAACTTTAGCGCACACTCATTTAACTTGTCTCTCAATACTACCATTCATAACACAGCCATATGTTAAGTATACAATGTAAAACACATTTTGTACTATTTCTGAACTTCATTAAGTGTGAGCATTGATAAGATACTATTTTGGTCATCCATTCATTTGCCTAACAAGACATGAACAACAATTTTATAGTTTGTAATTACCGTTTCCACCAAAGACATGCATGTCTAGTTGTTCTAGGACATACATTGTAAAAGTATTYACTTGAGGTAGTAAACCAATTAGAAATATCAATGGAAATCCTAAGATAAAGCCTACAAAACAAATGCGAATAGCAACAGTATTAATAACAACACTAAGTTTTTTATACTTGTACAAAAAGTGAAGGAATTTGAGTAGGTCTTCACCAMCTTAGAATGATTTCTCTGTTCTTAAAAGAACAATGACACTTTTTGCCTTTTATTTTCACCTTTTGCTTTGAACAAGCCTATTTGGTTGTATCTTCTGAGAAGCGTAAGCCAATTCCATAATTTTAACCATGTGATAGATGATTTCACTCGCACATAGTCAAATATTTTATGAATTTTGATTGAATATAAACGATAATCTTAATAGTCTTCTTCACGGTTCCCTGTACCATCTTGAAAGGTAGCCGTGCCTTTGCATAGAAGCGAGATCAMTGTTTAGCATGTAATGATAGAAACCTTCTTTCATGCCTACMGACAATGATTCACASGTTTCTATCATTACATGCTCAACGGTTGTCTTGTTTCGATGACAAGGTACAGCTACCTTTCAAGATGGCGCAGGGAACCGAGAAGGAGACTATTGTATATTATAATTTATTAGTCCTTGATTGGATAGACATATTTTCAATAAAGCCTTTTGTAATTTTTCACTTGCTAGATAAAGATTTATCACGTAATTTATCATGCTATTCAACCTCTGCACAAACAGACCCAGAAACATAGGAGTTAAAATGTACATATACTATCAACAAAATTCAAACTTACCAATGAGAAAATTCCTAGTGTATGTAAGAATACCAGCAGTGCATAGTGGTAAGGTATACAATGCTATACACTGTATATCGGGCTGCTGTACAATCTTGTCCAGTATYAATATAATGGCCGCCAATGAACAGAAATACACAGGTCGGCTAAACACTACTATGTGGTTATGGCCCTGCAAGTATAAACATTTAGTTATAATGATGATAATTTTCATGTCAAAAATGATGACATTAAATAAGAAGGAAAGATGAAAATAAAGGCAAAAAAGCAAGCAAAATAGAAATGATTAATAGTAGTGTCAGTAATAATTATATAAATGATAATAATTTTCTAATAATTCAGGGCAGGGTTGTTCAAAAAGTCTTATTAGCAGCTTTAGTTTGCCCATCATTTGCACTTACTGAGCTTTGAATAACTTAGACCTCACTGCAAGCATACATTATATTCTTGAGTGATTTAATTTGATTTTTGTTAATGAGCTCAATAAGATTGCAAATCAATATATCGAAAATATCTGTCCATTGAATTTGATCTTAATTTAAGGAATAAAAGACGAAATTCYGTGTTTGATACTCTGATCAAAACAGGCAGGATGTAGGGAGAGCACGAGAGAAGCGTAGGAAACCACGATGCGTAGCGGAGTGCTCTCCCTACATCCCAAGTGTTTTGATCAGAGTATCAAACACAGAATTTCGTCTTTTATTTCTTTTCTAAAATTAAAAGAATACAAACGCCAGGAAAAAAAAAATTTGACGCGCGCGAGCGTGTTTTGATACTGTAATCAAACATGGTTTTTGACCAATCACAGCACGCGTAGTATCCTAAATATTTTAGAAAGTTAATTAAGCAATAAAAAACACATTTCCATGCGTTCCTGGTGAAATAAACCATGTGGGATGTTGAGAGAACATGAAAAATAACACTTACATGTGTTGGAGATGCAGCATCTGGCTGAACACTCTAAAAACAGGACAAACAGGTTTAGATTGAACCGGTAAAACAGGATGATACAACATGCAGTACTAAAAACAGAAAAGCCACATCAACTCATCTTACCTTAAGAAGAGAAAACTGACAACTAGCAATGATGAAGCAAAACAGAAAAATCCAAAAATCATTAAAAAAATTCTTGACTAAAAGCCAGTATCCAAGAACAGCAACCAAAACAGCTAAGATAACAGATGCCAAGGCTTCAAAAACATATTTATTCCTGAAAGAAATGAAAAATAAAAAGTTCACAAATGAAAAATCTTGCTTCATATCYTTTTTATTCCCTACCTATCCATCAATGCCAACAATGAAAGCCTGTCAAACTTAATCTTTATAAATTTATTAGGAAAAAGTTGGAACTTGAAATAATGAGGAACGACAAACTTCTCCACTTGAGTGACAGTTGTGAAAGGTTGTCCTATTGGGAGACTGTTAGCAGACGAAACAGTATCCGCCCATCGTCGCTGAGAAGCAGTTCTCTGCAGATCAGTTTGAGGGATATCTTCATATCCCTCTAATGAATGCTCAACTACAAATGTAGATGAGGAACTACTTGTTTCCCTATAAAAAAATAAATAAGAAAAATTGTGAAAATTACATCCAAGAGTCATGTGCAAAGGTACAGCATCCATGTGTGTAATKTTTTTGTTTTTCTTTCTTTCTTTTTGCACAAAAAAAAGTATGTAACAATTGCTTGAATATGCAACAGCATGCAGGTTATACAAAAAACTATGCTATCAATGCCTACCAGTTAGTAACCAGATCCCTAATTCTGCTAGAAGAGCGCGATGGAGGAGGATTGGATCCAGTTATAGATGCATCTCCTTCAAACATGTAAGTTTGCCACTGACCTGCAAGAAAATTTCCATTTGTAAGCATTGACTTGAAAGAAACAATATCTCACAGGTAAAAAAGTACAAAATGTCACTATTACAAGATATTTTAGAACACATTATATACTGGTGAGAAGTAAATCTAGGAATGCAATTCATCAAAATAAATAAGATCTGATAAATTCAAGTTTGACTGGTTGTGAGAACAGGTAATTTTAAGTGACCAAACTTGAGCTTTGCCAGTCATTTTGCCCACTCCCTGATACCTAGTCTGGTGTCATTTTTTGTCCTACAATTTGTACTGTGTATGCCACATCCTAATCCACTTACTACTAATCTACTTACCAAATTCATCTTGATAACAATGCAGTGCCCCTGGGGTAGTATCATTGTAAGACGATGCTACGTGAGCTTGGGGTGGTGCTGTATCCATAGCATGTAACAATACACCTGTGAACGGTCCGGCTGCACTTGCAGAATCGCCCGTCCTCCTCCTTCGTCTAGCTGAAGTGCGTTGAATGTTTCTCCTTCTTCTTGCTAGCTGAGATGAACGTCTGGCAAGGATTAAGTCAGAGCCCTCACGACCTGACCCCTCGACTTCCCCTAAACTTCCAGTCTGTGTGGCTGTAGAAGCCGTGTCTTTGTTGACTGTAATGTTGATACCTGTGCTGTCTATTGACTCAGGATGTGAGCTTGCTGAAGGATTTCGTAAGCTGAAACTTCCCTGCAGAGACAAAGAACCATCCATTCCTAAAGGACTGTCATGTCCGGCAGCTGCTGAACAACTTGCTTCACTRTTTCTAGTCTCTTGCACTATGTCTGATATTGAACGTGGTCTGTGACAAATGCTTTCCTCTTGCGAGTCTTCCCTGAGTAGGGAAGTTTCCTTTGGGGAGGAATCTTTRAACAAATCAACAACTTCTGAGGAGAGATTATCTTGACTTTCTTCCTCTGCACTAGCCTCTTGGTTCTTCAGCATGCCAGCAAGATCAAAGTTTTCTAAAGCTGCTGTAACTTGCTTYAATGTGGTGGGAGGAATGCTTGATAAACTRAGTGATGAACCATCRCTTTTTGGTGAAGACACATTAGGTTTCCAAATGTCAGATGTTGCGAGACCTGGAGCAGATTGAGCTTCAAATAAAGGGCTTTCCATTATAGGAAGTGGAAAGGCAGAAAGGCTGCTTAAAGTGTCTGATGAAAAAATAAATAAAAAAATACTGTAACTGTTTTAATTTATGGCACACAATTTAATCCTTGTAGCTATAGGATATTAGAGTACTTTATCAAAGGTATTGCAGCAAGCATTCTGACAGAGATTAATCAATGTTACCTATTGTACATTCTTCCTTGTTATTTGGGTTTTGGACATCGTTTGTTGAGCTTGGAGCATCGTCATGTGATTGGTCACTTTTGAAACTTGTCATGCTTTCAAAATGATTCTCTTTGTGTGTATTTGGCATCTCTTTTTCTATGTCAAGAAAATGAAATAGATAATTTGGAGTTGTAACTATAACAAAAAACAGGGCAACAAAAAACATTATCATTTACCAGTTTCTTGGTCTTGTTGAGAACTTCCTGGATTTAACTTTCCACTAGGACTGAAATAAAAATGACATTAAAAGTTCTGTTTGTTTGTTTGTTTTGAGAATCATGTAAAATTTCCAAGTTATCTTTACCTTTGCCTCCCACTGTCATCTGAATCATCACTTGTTGGTATTTCCAGTGCAAACGTTATCTGTCAATCATAGCAAGTCAGAATTTGAATCGTTATCAAACCATTTATTGTAACAATTATATGCATTGTGTTCATAGAAAATAAATTCCACTTTATCTATTTATAATCACAATACTAATCTTGAAGTGGCTTTCCATTATTTTCATATTGTCTTTATAAATGGTTTATTAATAATTATTATTTAAGTATTATTGTAAATACCCTAACTCAAATGATACATAAACTATAAAAGTTTTTTAAATACCTCCTTTGCCCCTACTTTTTTTCTTCTTGCGCCTGTTTCTTCTGCATTTTCAAAGGGGGAAACCAATGAGTTAGTAAAGCTGGGTCTTGGTCATATAATGCAACAACATGATGCAGAAAAGGACAACTTAACCATTACATTATTAAACTAAATGATCAGTCTATAAGTACTAATAATTATCAATTTCATGATAAATGCTACATTTAGATAATAGATGAACAAAAGAGGACATACCTTCTGTCTTGCTAGCTTGATCACCACTATCCTATATTACAAACAGTCAAGTAATTAGTTTATTTTTTCTTCATTGAATTAAACAAAAGGATGATACATTATTACCATTGAGTGGTTATCAAAATATTAGGACTAAATGGTGTTTAGTGAGAATGTGATATTATTGAGCTAATATTAGTTAAAATCAATAACTTGTGCAGTGAAAGAGTATTCATATTGTCAGTTTGCCAATAATGCCAGTCCAAGTTAAATTCTGCCCTACAAAATCAACAGTTGGAAAAAAAAAAACAATTTCCTCAAGTGAGACTGACAGAATAGAGAGTTTAAGCATCACGTTTATGGCAAACAGCTAACGGCAGAGCTGAACCAATTACCTTAAAATTTTGTGCCTGACCTGGTGTTCCTTTTTAGTAATTTGAAAAGGCCAATTTTGACAACACAACTTTTGCATACAACCATTGCATGCAACCTGCGTAAGTCATCCTTACGACATGGCTACAACTGTCATAGGGATTTTAAACAATTGCTTGATAGCCTTACGACAGTTGTAGCCATGTCGTAAGGATGACTTACGCAGGTCACATGAAATAGTTGTAGGGAAAAGTTCTGTCGTCTAAATCGGCCTAAAGAGGGACTTACATTTCAAGCAAACATTTGACCCTCAAAACCCTGGATTTTGCAGCTCCAAACACTGAAAATAACTCCCTTTATATAAGACACTTGCTAAAGCAAACACTTCATTAGGATGTCATTAAGGTGTCCGTTTTAATAAGAGTTGACTGTATAAATGTCAAGCTTAGCAATGTATTGCTTTGAGGTTGTCCTTTTCTATGATAGCGATGATTTTTCAATAAACGATTGATTGCGAATGTTGGAATTAAACTTGAATCGGCAGACTGGAGACTGTAAGCAATACCCTATGTTACTTATCTAGTATTACAATAGACCTGATCAGGGTTATTCTCCATTGTCTGCGATTGGTTAAGAAGAGAAGAAGGCATTGAGGGGGGCAGGGGTTGTTGCTCATGGCTACCATTACAATCAGCGGATGAGCCACATCTGTTAATCACCTCCATTTCAATGACTTCCCCGGCCCCCTCCCCATGGGGAGACACAACGGAACTATCATCACGTCTCACGCTAACGGAGTGCTCTCTCACGACGCTATCTCCTGTTGGGATTTCTCTTGTGGAGCCACTGTCCTCTCGCTGATCTTCCTCGGAGTGAAATTCCTCGCCGTCAAACATCAAATGAAGACGGTAGTTTAAGAATTTAATGATGGCGAATAGAACTCCAACAAATGCTGCATACAAGACCCAGACTAGATCAGAAGGCGGAGCACCCTGATACGAAATAAAATTGTAAACAAGTCAAAAGCGGAAAAATGTTTTGAAGAACGCTTGTGCACACCAGGCTTCGATAAACAAAACATTAAGGATGAGAAATGCTCCACTAAAATTATTTGACTGCATATTAAAATACTTACAAGGTAAAGAGAAAACGGCAGACACAGCAGAATAATCCATAAGTAAAAATGAAAGGTATTGGTAAAGATTTCTTGGTGTGGGTCGAAGAACCAACCTCCCGTCAGCGAGGCCCAAACACCCTGACGCAAAATCTCCAGCGTTTGAGAACCCATTCGAATTTGTATTTACAAAGCAAGTTATTTGCTTTGAACGTTAACTCAAAGCATTTTGAAACACGTACAAAGTTCAAGGGGTCGACATATCAGGTTGAAAATCGGAGAAATTTTCTCCTCTTCCTTCCCATCGACCGCCATATTTTTTTGGTTGACGTCATTGACGCCCGCGTTCATTARTYACAGCAGTCTACTTTCACAGCTGATGTTACRATCACGAATATCCTAGTCCMRGYCCCCSYMWTTKKTTTTTTTTCAAGATGGCGGACGAACCAGAAAGTAATGYGGATGATGCAGAATATTCTATTAAAGAGGGAAAACATGTTATTCTCAGGCTCAATAAGCATATAAAGGTCGTCCAAGTACAACGGGATAGGTTAGTAGCTTTATTTTGTTCATTCATTCTCATCTTACTAGTCAAATTTCTTTACGTATTTTCATTTCTTCTAGAAAAATTTTTTTTGAGAAGCTTCGCTTTGTTATCAATGAAGCTATTGGTTGTCCACTTGGCTCTGTATTTGAGGTGAAAAGAGATACTTTGAGTAGAGTAAATCCAGATGAAGACGTAGACGAGCTGCGATCGACAGAAAATGGAGGTGAGTCGTCTTAATTTAAGGCCAAAGTTTTTTGCAGTTTTTTTACGTCTATTGTTATTAAGCTTATTTTTGTTTAATTCACTAGATAAGGGAACTGTTTACCATGCAATAAAAAGTGAAGGAGTGACACAGAAACTGTCGAGAGAAGACGTCGTTTCATTAAAAGCCCAAGGAGCTACTGGAAAGGTTGAATATTAATGCAAAATATATGTTCCACTTTTAAGGAAARTACTAAACAGCAATTTGTAATCCAACAACAAACAGGATATTGTAGATCAACTAGTTGAAAATAGTGCAACATTCAAAGACAGAACAGAATTTTCAAAAGCAAAGTACAGAAGTAAGAAAACTAAAAAGTAAGTGAAGCTTTATATTATTCATTAATATTAATTGGTTATTACTTAATTTAATGGTTTATTATTATCAGTAAATGAATAATGGCCACATTTATGTAATAATTAAATTATGGTCAAGGATTAATAAGCAATAAATATAAGAAAATCTCCCTAATTTGAATTGATAATCTCCTTAAACAATGATAATTATTGAACAATCATTTAATTTGTATTATCAGATACAGTGCAAGGATATCTGTTCTCAAGCCATCAACATCTCTATTATCTGAGATGTATTATAACTCAAAAGTTTCTCATAAAGTATGGTAAGTATAATATGCCCTATTAATAATATATGTCATATGACTAGCTTACTATATAATTCAATTACTAAGTCATCAATAATACTTTCAATAGCGAGCTAAGACCAGATGCACTCTCTCAAATATTAACCCTGGCAAATATCAGAGCAACATCMAACATTATGGTAATRGARCAGTGTCAAGGACTTGTARCAGGAGCAGTTCTGGAAAGAATGGGTGGTAAGCACTTCAGCCATTCCATGTATTCCACATTCCAGTTTTGTCCATTCCATATATAACTATGAATGATCTATTGCATTAGATCAGTGTTATAAAGATAATTAATTAATTTCCATTTTTAATGATGAATATGTTTTATAATACACTGTGTCTACCTTGAATCCTACTTTGAATTTCATGTATTTGTATTTCATTGCAGGTTATGGAAATATTGTACAAATCTATACTGGTGATTTTCCATTTAGGTAATTGAATTGCAATTCTGACCGTAGTTATGGCTGATTTTTTAACAGATGATTTGATTGGTCATTAAATCGTAGGATAATAACTACTTGATTAATGAGTTGATTGATTTATTGGTTGGTTGACTGATTGATTGATTGACAGACTGACTGATGAGATGATTGATTGATAAATTGATTGATTTATTGACTGAATGATTGATTGATTGAGAGATATACATGTAATTGCAAACCTCAGGAAATAGATTTTTGACTGATACTTTAAATTTTTAGGCTTGCAATGGACTATTTTGATTTTACACCAGAAGTTCTTGAAACAGTACATGGCTTTCCTCTAAGTAAATTGTACAATATTGAAGGTAAAACTTAATACAGAGTCACATTGAAAAATTCATATGGCGTTTACTGTACTTGTTGTAAAAAAACGGTTTATGCAATTTAGTTGTGTTATGTCATTTGAAGAACCAGATCCAGAGTCTAAGGAAGAAACTGTAGAAATATGCAAAGATGCAGTCATGGACAGCCAGGATACWGAAACAAAACAAGAGGAAACCTGCTCCGAAGATAAAGAAAAGAAGGAAAGAAGGGAAGGACCTATGAAAGAAGAGGTATCATAAAAACTCTTAGTTTTCCTAAAGAGATTTAAAAACCAACTTAGTATGACTTACTTAGACTGAATAACATTTCAAAAAATATTCCAAAAAGTCTTATATAAAGAGTTTTTGTTGTTCAGTTTATTCATTTGCTATCATAATCATTACCCCAGGAAAAAATAGCAAGAAGAAACAAAAGAAGACAAGAAGAATTAACGGCAAAAAATATGCTTCAAAATAAACACATGGATGGGTAAGTGTAGAGTACTTTCTTCAACAGTTCAGTGGCGGATCCAGGGGGGGTTTCATGGGTTCCCAGGAACCCCCCTCAAGCATAAAAAAATTAAAAATAAAATGAATGAAATGAAATGAAAACGCATCGTACAATGAATTTTTATTAAATACATTAGTGCTACATTTGCTACAGTTCGAGAGGCACAGTAAAAAAAGTCCTTTTAGGAAAATGCGAAAACAAAGTGGAACCCCTCTTTGAAAAATCCTGGATCTGCCACTGCAGTTGTCTACATTTCTTTCTGATTTGGCCCTAGGGGTTCATGGGATGGTATATCCACCTCCTGTTGCATCTCATCTCAGATTTACTCTTTTTCTCTCTTTGTTTAGAAAAGAATATTGACACCTTGCGACCCACTAGATAAAATGCCCCTAGTGATGGCTTCTGCTCATTTAATGTAATTTTTTTTTGACGTTTTCAGACTTGTTGTTGTGTGCAAGTTCCATCCTAGTACTGTTGTACCATTGCTCCTGGATTATGTTGCACCTTCAAGACCATTTGTAGTGTACTCTCAATACAAGGAGGTATGTTTGAAATGGAGTAAAAATATTGGTTTGCAAACATAATAAATCTACAGATTGAACTCTTAAACTAGTGTTAAAGTAGTGTTATTCTTTCTCAGCCACTTGTAGAGTGTTACGGTGATTTACGAAGTAGAGGTGGTGTTGTCAATCTACAGTTAACGGAAACTTGGTGGCGACATTATCAAGTATGTTATTTTTTTAGTTGTTTCGCATCAGGACTACTTTAAAACATCTGAAAAGTGTCCAGCGAAAGCTCGAGAAAAATTAAAATAACTATCACAGTAGCGTATGGTCTACTTGTATGTTATCTTACATCTGAAAAGTCAATTTATTACTGTCAAGTTATCGCCAATTTTCAAAATTAGTGCTTGAGTCTTCCGGTAAAACTTTTGCCTGCAGTCATCACATGCAACCTGCGCAAGTCATCTTTGCAACATGGCTACAACTGTCGTARGGATTTAAGTAGCGATGTTGTAAGGATGACTTACGCAATTTGCTTGCAATAGTTGTAGGCACTAAAAGTTGTGTCGTCTAATTCGGCCTTTAAAGTGATATAAAAATGCAAGTTGTCGCAGTATCAGAGAACGTGAATGGAAATTTTCCAGGGGCAAAATTAATTCTTTCTAATCTTWTTCGTTTGTTGATTAAATGTATCTTCTCTTTCTCAGGTTCTTCCAGGACGGACACATCCGTTAGTAACGATGGATGGGTCTGGAGGGTATCTTTTGTCTGGTACAACAGTCGAAAGGCCCGTAAAGATAACGTCAATTCCAGAAAAACATAAAACAAGTGAAGCAACTGAGGATTCGACACTAGAACCGCCAGCCAAGAAATTGAAAGACGATGTATAATAATTGTTATATTGAAATTAAAGACTCGGCTTTTATAATGYTTACACGTGTTTTGGGTGTACTTGCAGATGATGTATGAGTGATTCTCATTCGCATCTATATTGAGATCGGGAAAGTTCCGGAATTATTAAGCTACTTAGACTCTACTTACATATCTGAATGATCGGAAATATAAAGTCAGTTCTAGTGTATGACCTTTAACTTCCAGTGGGCGAAGAAAAGATTGTTTCCGTACATTGTGAGAGTCCTTGAGTAAGTTCTATGGAATATCTACCAGTATAAGAATGATGTCAAATTGCCTTTGTAATAAAAACAGATCAAAGATAAAAATAATCGCTATCGGAAATGGAGACTATTTCAGTATTTAATGGCTTGGTTTTTGAGATCGCATTGATGCGCAAATTTTATTCACAAAGGACTGTATACCGATATTAAAACGCTGCATATAATGGTTTTTTTTGGAGATTCAGAGAAGGAGAGGTTTTGCAGTCAACATGGCAATAAATGCTTAACCATGAATGACTGAGCGCACCTTTGACTGGTGACACCTCACTACTGACTTCACCATTGTGTCTATCAACATTTGTGTATAGAGGATTAGAGTGCTAAATCCGTGAAACAAACTGCAATAATGTGTAAAACACCGAAAAGACCAAGAAAACGTGCATAATAAAAAGTAGCAGTACACCTAAGAGCAGTAAACTAACTTCTAAAAGGGCTGTCTATTGGTATGCAAATCATTTGATAGCGCGCGGAGTTTGACTCCTCAATGTGCACCGGAAATATATGGGCCTCCAATAAATGCCGTCTGTGCTTTGTTTTGCCTCCTTATCCTTCTTTTCTTCTGCCTATTTAAAGATGAAAATTAATTGGTCAAGCTACTCCAAGACGCGCATCTCAACGCAAGTTCGAGAAGCAATGATCAACTGCGTGGGACACCTGATACCGTCGTACATGACTAGATGAACTATCTCTAGTGCAAGTCACTTCCTTTTAATATTCATTTATGTGCCCCCACTAAGGGTTATCATGCATTGCAAACTCGAAACTATGCACACTGGAATTTTAGAATTAGAACTAGAATTGGTCTTATTATGAAGGGGATAGAATTTTCTTTGCAAATATGAATTGTCCTAGAGACTTTCTATTCAAATGCCAATGGTTCAT